TCCCCCCCACCTCCTTCCTCTCCACACGCCCTGCGGGCGCCACCGAAGGAAAAATCTAGCCGCCGCCGCCACCTCCTCGTCGGCCTGATTCCGCTTCGCTCGTCCGCCCGCTCTCTCTCTCTCTCTCCCTCCCCGCCTTTCTTTTTTTTTTAATCCAGGACGGGCTCCAATTTATCCTTTTCCTCCCGAGGACAAGGAGAGGGAGCGTTTCGCCACAACCTCGCCTCGGTCGGTTCTCGTAGGGCAATCCCGCGTTCCTCCCCGTCCTCTGATTTGTGCCGACCCTTCGAGAGACGGGGGGAAATCTTTGGATGACCGGATCGCAGGATTTTTTTTTCCTCCCCCCCCTCCCTGCTTCCAAGATTTTCGCCCTTCCCCTGGATTTCTACAGGATTCGGTTTAGGATCCACCGCTCTCTTTCGAGAAACACAAACGTCCTAAAAATGCAACCTCTTTTGTTATCCCGGGAAAAACCCTTTTTCCCCCCGCTGGTCTCTCCCCTTCCCTCCCCAAAAATAATCGGGAGGGAGAGACGGTTGGCTTCCGCAAATCGTCCTTATTCCCAACGCTATCCCTTCGATCCAAATGCTTCTCCTTTCCCCTCCTGGCCACCCATGCTCTTTGGATCCCTCTCCCCGTTTCCCGCCGCCTCCCCAAAGCAAGCAGCCACCTCTGGAGAGTAGGTCGTTCCGGATCCCCGCCGGGCAGGCAGGCAGGCAGGCGCCTCGGGAACGCGGGCGGGCTCGCGTCTCCCCTTCCCTCCCGCGGCGAGCGCAGCAACAACCTTCCCCGATCACCGACGGGGAGAGCCAGGGCGCGAGGTCCGGTCCCTCTCCTCCGCCCGGTACCGCAGGCGACGCAGCGGATCCCGCCTCCGTCAGCGGCGGAGGAACGCGACCCAGGGCCCGGCGTTTGTGGAGCACGGTGCGGGTAGCGTGCGAGTTCCGCGTCTCTCTTTTCTCTCCGTCGGTGCGACCTCGCTGAGGCGGTTAATAAGGATGAGACGAGCCCGCCTCGTTGTGGCGGCGGCGGCGGCAGGCGCGAGTGGGGAGGAGGAGCAGGAGCCGGAGAGGAGCCGCTGCAGCAGCAGCCCCATCGGAGGGAAGGGGGGCGGGGAAGGCTGGCACGCTGGCTGGCTGGCTGGCTGGCGGGAGGGAGAAATGAATGCCCGGCTGGGGGCGTCCAGGCAGAGCCGAGGGAGGGCAGCACGTCCTGGCGGCTCCGGCTCCTGCCGCCGCCTCCTTTTCCTCCACCACCACCAGCGCCCAGACCCCCGGGGAGCGCCTCCCCCTCCGCGCCTAGGGCGCACGGCAGCTCGGGCTCGCCCAACCCTGCTAACCCCCATTCTCCACACACATCCGCCACGGGGAGCCCCCGAAAAAAGCGCCTGGCCGAGGGAAAGAAAAGAGAGGGAAGGGGAGGGAGGGACGTCGGAGCGCTCGCCTGAATGGAGCCACCCTCCGGATGGCGGAGCGCGCCGGCTGCAGCCGGTCGGGCAAGGCCAGGGTGAACCCAACCTCGCCGAAGCTCCGCGGCACAAAAGGGGAGGATTATTTTTACTCGATTCGATTGGGGTTTTTTTTTCCTTTTAAAAGTTAAGGATAGCTATAGGATATGTAAGAAAAGCAGCGTTCAGCTGCCGTGACAGGAAGGCGAAGAGAAAAAGGCAACGCTTTGCCCACGACGGAGCGGTTTCTCTTCCTCTGCAGGCGCCGAGAGGAGGGAGACAAGGCGGCGGCTCGGCTCTTTCCACCGCCGCCGCCTCTTTTCTTCCAGCCCGCGCTAGGGCCCCTCCCTCGGCACTCAAAGACACCCAGACCACGGGTGTGGGAATCGGGGGCTCTAGAGACATTTTATCACCCGCTTCTTCCCACCGATCTCCTGCCGTGCGTAATCGAGAGCGGGGAGGAGGAGGCGAAGCCGCGGCCGCTTCCCCTTGGCTCTCCCTCGGCCATGGCCGACCGCCGCGGCCTCTCCGCCCTAGAGCGAGCGCGTGGAGGAGAGGAAATGGGCCCCGATTCGAGTCTTCCCCCCCCAACCAATCCATTTCCAGCCCCCCGATGCAATTACGCACACATTCACACACAGACAACCGCCAGGCGAACCCCCTCCCCCCCCGCATTTCCAATCTTCAAACTAAGGTCTTATTTCAAATACACCCCGAAGCCTCGAAAATGCGTCCGAGAACAAAACGACTGAAAATTCAACGTGCCGTTTCGAATGTGTTTTAATGCACGCTCCCCGAGAAACAAATCCAGCCCACGTATTCCTTTTTTTTTCCCCTCTCAGCCTTACCGAGGAAACAGGAGAGCCCAGGAGGAGAAAAACAGAAGGGTGGTGGTGGTTGCTGCTGCTGCAGCCGCCTGCCTGCCTGCCTGCCCACTCGCCTGCCCGTCGTCCTCCTCCACCGCCGGAGCCCGAGGAGGTAACAAAAGCGCCTCCCTCCAGCCCCAGATGGCGGAGCGCAGCGTCGGGTTAATGGCGAGCTCCACATGCGCTCGTCCTGCCGCAAAGCCAGCCCCGGCGGTAGGCAGCGTCGCCTCGGATCGTGCCTTCTTTCTCCCCCCCCCTCCCTCTGATCCGTCCTTACCCACCCACCCTCCTTTGCAACGGGGGGCTCCATACTGGAGCTGATTCGAGGGGAGATTTTTGAGCCCCCTTCTACGTCTGCAACCTACCTGCAGATCGGAAAGGCTTTGGAGACCAGCTTCCCCCCTTTTTTTCCCCCCTCTCTTCTTTCCTCGGCTTGCTTTAGCTGGGAAGCGTTGGTTGAATGCACGCCAGCTCTGCAGCGCTGGCCCCGGGCGTGGACTCGCTCCAGTCCCCGCAGAGAGCTCGCACTTCCCCCGCCTCCATCGCGCTGCTTTTTTCTTCCAATCAGCCGGTCTCGTCGGCTCCCGGATCCTTAGGCAACCTCACAGCCCTTCTTCACCAAGTCCCCACTTTTTCCATCTGCTGCCTAAAACGGGGTCGCAAAAACGGAGACCAGGGCCTCGATCTCGCGCTTGCTCTCGCGTCCCCCCTTTTTCTCTCTCTCTCTTACCAGGTTGTGGGGCTCTCAATCTATCTGGAGTGTGGAGAATGTGTGTGTGTATATGTGCGTATGTTTTTATTGCTCTTTGCTTTTGCAACACTGTAGTCGAACCAGAGGAGGGAGGAGGGGAAAGAGGAAAAGGAAGAGAAGGAGAGAGAGAAAAAGAAAGGAGGGGGGGGAGATCTTACATTTGCCACAAATCCTCTTCGTTTGGCGTTTGTAAAACGATCACAAATCACACGCACTCGATTTTAATTCCTCCTGCGACCTCCCCTTTCTCTCCTCCCGCCCCCCCCTTTTTCAAACGATCGCATCAAAAAGCGGGCGGGGAGGGAAGAGTTCCCAATTTACACAGCGGAGAGAGCGAGGGCTGCTGCTGCAAAGCCGCCGGATTATTTCTGAGGGCAGACATATTTTTGGCAACAAACGGGATTTTTTTTTTAAAGGTCCCAGTTCGTCTGCCTCGCAAACAAGGGGGGAGGGAGGGGTGTGCGGCTCCCTTTCCGCGCCCCGCTGGCTGTTTATTGACACTCATCTCGGGGTTGCATTCGAAACCGCTGTGCAAAAAAATGACATTCGTAGAGAGATCGCAGTCAAAAGCCAAGCTCCTCTTTCGCTTCTTCCTCCTCCCCCTCCCCCCCCGCAACACACTCTTTTAAAAAAAAATTAAATTTTTTTTCCAGCTCCACCTTTGTTGTTAAGGGCGTCATCTGCCGCCGCAGCCAATCATCTGCTTGTGGAGTTGTCTGTCAAATTAACGCCAATTGCAACGCGCAAAAGCGACTTTTACACAGGCACACTGAAATGCAATTAGGTATGAGCTTTTTAGGAGGTAGGCGAGAGATCATCTCATCAACCCCCACCCAGCCTTCTCCAATGGTAAAGGCAGAGGACTAAGCAGAAGGAGTCTCTTCTGCTTTGCAAATAATAGAAAATCGGCAACCATTTCTCATCTTCTCATTTTATATACACTGGGGAGTGAAATTTAAAAGGAAGGGAGAATCATCGTGGTGAAATATATTAATTGTAATATACTAACCATAACCATAAAGGAAGAATTTAAAGAGCAGCGTGATTTAAATTGCACATATATATTATTGTAGGCCTTACTGAATCTAGAATAAACATTTTGAAAGTAAGCATCTTAATATCTTATGCTAAACACTTTGGTTTTCAGTTATTCATGCTGAATATTGTGTATTGTTTATTTAGATCCTGTTGGAGCTGTGTGAAGATTTTTAAAATCTCTTTAGTTTTAAAATACATAAGTAATTATCAATATGAATACTCAAGAGTATATTCTGTTAAGTTCAAGGGAATTTCCTCCTAAGTAGCGCTAAATAAAAGCCTAGTCTTCACCTGAAATTCAGCCTGTCCACTTATTTTACAAAATAAAATGACATTATTCTGTCCATTATATAAATGGAACAGTCCTGTAACAATTTTTGGCAAATGGGTTCTCTCAAGCTTGTGTCAAGTCTAACTGAAACCTCTCTTAGCACTGTCAAAATAACGGTTTAGAATTACATTTTTACGAACATTATTATTTTTACCATTATTTGCATGTTTTACTGTTGTCTGATACTTTTTGTACCATGATGTTGATTTTAGTTTTTTAAAAAATTCCCATTACTTACTAAATGTGCCATTTACTAAATGTGTGTCAGACAGATGATTTGGTTCCATTATTTTCTCCTGTCCCATGAACACATTCTAGTCTTATTCTGTTGGTTTTTTGTGTTTTTTTTTTTTGGTTTGGAAATATTCCACTGAATGCAGATGTCAGCTATAGATGTTAGTCAAAATGTATTCTTAATTTCAGGCTAAATGCCATTCTGTTGTCAGTGTTGTCAGGCTTCTGCCTGTGGCCCCCACTAATTAAAAGGTACACAGTTACAGTAGGTTGCTACACAGATCTGTGGTGTTCTGCAAGGCATACAAAAATAAAACAACAGTTATGTGGTACTTTAAAGACAGGTATACTTGCTGTGAGCTTTTGTGGAGCGCAATCTGCATGCACAGGCAAATGAGTTGTAATCTACAAAAGCTGACACTGAAATCGGTCTGCTGATCTTTAACGGCTCTTCTGGTGTTGCTGTTATACATTCTGAAGTGCACTGACTACATGTCTTCCTCTCTGACAACGGTAAAGCGTATGTTACACACATTGTTTCATTACAGTACCTGGTTTCGCGTATCCACATGTGTAAAACTGGAACTGCATACAGTATAATCTTCACTGTGTTGTTTTTTTTTCCTTGCAAATTAATACAACTGAATCAGCACATTATTCCTGTGTTCCCTTGGAGATTTTTGGGTTCCACATTCATTTTCCAGACATCCTGCAATAGGCAATTACCAGGCAACAAAGTCTGGTGTATCCCCTTGACGATTTCAGTGTTCCTGGAGTTGTTGCTTTTAAATACAGTTGTGAGTCTTAATCCAAGCCTGCACTCATCAAAATTCACTCCTGGGGCTCATTTTCAGTAGCAGAACTCAACTCTGAATATATGCAGAGTGCCTTTTTGTCACCATTCGCTAAACAGAGGGCACAACTAGACAGGGGAATTTGAAGCAATTCGGGTTTCATTTAAAAGCCTCTTACGCAATCAATTTTATCTCATACTTGAGTGACCCCCTCCATTCACACAGAAGACTTTTTTCTTCTCTGAGAAGGATCCAGACAGAACTTCAGATTGCTCCAATTTCTCCCTTTTTTAATTATTGAGGCCCTGCCCCTGCTCCCTTTGTCACCTTTTGTGGTGACTGTCATTCCATGGATTGTGGCACCTCCCTTTTTTAAAAGCTTAAGTAAGTGGCATAGTGCTAAACTGGGAAGACCTTTATAAGTTAATCTTAGCATCTTGACTTTGGCTCCAGAAGCATACCGGAAGCCAATGCAAATGGCCAAGGCAAAATATGGTCAAATCTAGATATGTATATTTGTAACTAGCCTGGCCACCGCATTTTGCACTTCCTGCAGATTCCAAACCACTTTCAAGGGCTATGTAGAGAGTATTGCAATAGACAGTCCTTGAGATAAAAAATGCGTGAACAAATGTTATTAGGGACCTCCTGTGACTAGCCTGGCCACCGCATTTTGCACTTGCTGCAGATTCCAAACCACTTTCAAGGGCAACCCCATGTAGATAGTATTGCAATAGACAATCCTTGAGATAAAGAATGCGTGAACAAATGTTATTAGGGACCTCCTGTCAAGAAAGGGCCTGAGGTGTTTTCTACCTGGCTCAGGTAGAAAAAGGCAGATATGGATATGGCCAAGATTCAATTCTCCATTGAGAGGGCAGGTTCCGAAAGCACACCTAAATTGCAAACCTGATCCTTCAGGGGGAGTGTGACACACACACACCATCAATATCCGATAGCAAACCCCTTAACTAATAAGGTTGTTGCCTCCCAACAACAGGATCTTCATCGAGTCCATACCCATAGCCAGGCAGCACTCCAAGTTCTATACAGCTTCCCATGCCAAAGGAAAAAAGGAGAGAGAAAGTTGCATGTCATTTTACCAAAAGCAGCACCCTCCAAATTTCCAAATGACCTTCCCCAGTGGCCTCACATAGATGTTGAACAACAATGGGAAGCTAATTGTCCCCTGTGGGACACCACATAATAGCACTGATGGGGATGAAACAGCATCCCCAAGTAGTACCCTCTGGCACTGGCCATTAAGGAAGGAGCAAAGCCAGTGCTGAGCCTCCAGTTCCCAGCGCCATTAACCAGTCTAAGAGGATACTGCAGTTGTTGGTATCAAATGCCATTGAGAGATCCAGGAGCATTAGCAGGGTCATATTCCCCTAGTCAGCCTTTTGTAACAGGCCATCTAAGAGGGCAATCAGAAATGTGCCAGTCCCATGATGTGGCCTGAACCCAGATTAAGATAGATCCAGACTGTCTGTATCCTTCAAGAATGGCTGTGGCTGATCAGCCACTAGCCTTTTGATCAGTTTCTCAATGGCAGTATATTAGTGACCCCTCAACAGTTGTTTAAATCATCAAGTTGTCTCTTTTGAGAATGGGCTGGATTGTCACCTCCTTCAGGGAGGAGAACATGTATCCTTCCTGCAAAGAGAAGTTCTTGATCTCAGTAGCTCATTCAACTGTCACCTCCCTGGCTGATTTTAAGAGCCAGGAGGAATGTGGGTCAGACAGGGAGGTGGCGGCCTTGGCACATGCAAGCACCTTGTCCATGTCATCAGGCATCACAGGCCAAAATTGATGGAGTATAACTGGACAAGATGGTATGTTGGACATAGTGCTATGACTTATTGCAATAACGGATTCAAGGGCAGGGTGGAAGACAATTGATACAGCAAATTTAAGATCTGGACAAATTAAATCAATATAAAATAAGTCAGGAAAATAAAAATTATTATCCAGTTGACTACAGAGTAATGATCTTTCTATCCTAAATGCTTGTATAGATATCTAGGTTCTTACTTAGCACCAAAATGAAGCTAGGATTGATGCCAGGAGGGCATTCCACAACAGGGGTGCTACCCACAATTGAAGTGCTTAAGACTGTCACTTGAGGTACTGTTTTTGCCTTAAGACACAGAATAAGGCTCCCTCACCAGATTGTAATGATTGGGCAGGGGTGTATGTTTAACACACACACATACACAGGCATGAGACCAGGGAAGAGGTTCCCTCAAATGTTGAGATATCAAGGTTTCTAAGGATTTAAATGTCATCAGCACACCTTAAACTTGGACTGGAAACATATTGGCATTTTTAGAAATAAATAATATATTTGTGGATGCTCACCAGTGGGCTCTTGTGCAGGTCATCCTGGAAACTTCTAGAACTGAGCTGAAGTGTCTTTTAGTAGGAACCAAGTACTGTACGGTATAACACTTCCCCATTCCTTTGCGGTTATAAGTGCTGCTAATTATTTTTGAGAAAATGTACCTTTTCAACAAATAAATATGGTGTTTATTTTATTTTCAAGAATGCCCTACTTTTTATTTTTAAGCAACTGA